TAGTTTCATAAGTTGATCATCCTTATCAGAACAAAGGGATTCCACGTGTTTCCGATTGGCCGTTGGAACTGGAAGAGTTCGTGGTGTTTCCATAATGACGATCCAGCCAGGAAAATTGGAATAGCCAAGCACAAGAAATAAAAGTGAAATCAAGACAATACACCTGTACTTGTGGCAATGAGAATAGAAAGTTCGATTCCCGCCACAAGGAATCTCAGTTGTATAGTTCTTCAACGAAAATATACTTGTAATATAGTAGTATAGACGATATACCACCAAACCGAAGTAGAACTCCAGCAAGTAGGATAGAAGTAGAGAGTCGAATAACCACAACCGTTCGATATGGAAGCTGCGGTGAGAATGACACTTATCCACGATATTCTCGCATCAACCGATTATCTTTTGTTTCGCTCTCATGCTCAAGCAGAACAAAAGTTTCGATTATCGCGAGCACCTCAAAATGGAGCTTCATTCAGTTTTCGCGTCGAATAAAGCAGAGTTCTGGTGAAGGTGTTCTTTCTTCAATTAAGGACGGGAGCAGTGAGTTGTGGTAAACTCTGCACTTGATAAAGTTGGTTGCAAAGAAAATTATTCTGATATCGGTATGAACCGTACCTTACTCATTACTCAACCTAGTGTTGTGTGATTCGGATAAACACTCATGGAAAATCCTAGCTCTTCCAAACACCACTGCAGTGCCTTGAAGAATGTTTATGTGTATAGTAGTATGTCATTTCCACCACTGCAGTGCCTTGAAGAATGTTTATGTGTATAGTAGTATGTCATTTCGAATGAAGCGAAAATAACATTATTCAAGCGCTGTCTATTTCGCTCCTGTTTGCGTTTGTGGTTCATCCCTCTTCAGCGGTGCCGTAGGCCCCTCGCCAGCTTTTTCAGCTTCAATTTCGCCTTCTTCCCAGTCATATGGGAATTCCTAAAGTTTTGCTTTGTCAGAATTTTTTTTTTTGCATGGTCGTCAGAATTTGTCAAATTGCCGACCTTTTCCCCACTCATTTGTATAGCGTTGCTTATGAGGTTGTATATTTCGTTATAATTCGGCTCATCGGCGTAGGATAGCTTATCTACCTCCTTCATGATGTCCACGAACTCCACGGGTAATCCTCAAGATAATTTGCGATGAGAATGATTTTGCAGTGGGGATTTGCTCAGCTGGGATGGCGCCAAACTGGCGCATGGAAGTCAATAACCAACGTAGTCTCGCCCTATGAAAAGTTTCAAGTGGCTCCATGTTCTTCTGGAAAAAACATTGGGCTTTATCACATTCGCGGCTAGTGCGGATTTCGCGAATGCTTCCCCCACGGGCGAACCTGCCGTGGCAGTCCATATGACTACCATCGTCGCAGAAAACGCACAAACTATAAACGACGACGATTTCAACCAGAGTTTCAACGCTTAATTCTTCGGTAGCGACGAGGAAATGATAGTTTGTAGTGGATTACGCCGTTGTCTTGCTTGTCAATGATGATGTAGAAAAATCGGATGATGACCAGAAGGGCGTTTTTTTACAGGAACAGCTGGTTGACTGGTGTGAAAAAAGTTTTATCCATTCTTATTTAAACAAGAACCTTTTATTATGGGAATCGACGACTTTACCTGCAGGGCTCTTTCCGACTTCTCCCGCAATTCTCTAATCGACGAGCTGCTTGCTTTTATTGTGCAGGAAACCAATCTGTACGGAGTCATCAAGTCGGCGAGGTTCAGGGAACCGGTGAACGAGAAGATTTGCGAATTTTGGACTTTGCTTTTTATGGGATTGTGAAAATGCCGAAATTACGCCAGTACTGTAGAAAATTAGGTTCAGCTCGACGTCACAAGAGAAAATGACCAACAAACACTCTGGAAAGCACGGGCACAAAAACCATTGCGGCTGCTACCAACGCATCAATTCTAACTCAGGAAGAGAGAAGCCAGGAAAGTGTTACCACAGTTTATACCAAGTGTTTGGTAAAAAATGGTTTTTTTTGCATCGTTGCAAGGAGAAAAACTGCGCCACTTAGTTGTTCGTTATCTTTTAACGCTTTTTTTCTGCCTACGGGAACCGGTTGTACGCTAAACCCTAGGCTTTTCATTGATGTAGAGAGTGTTCAAAAAACTTATGTCATAAGCAAATGGCAGGAAATTATTATCTGGCAACATATATGGGCTGCCACCGTCCCAGGAGCACTTCCTTCCTGTTGGTAGCCTATATGAGCTGACATCGGCGTGAATGTGCTGAAGACGCGACAAACAGTTTTTCGGATAGTGTACGGTAGTGACTCCATCGAAATGTATCTAACAAAGACCGAATTCGTTCACCCTGCTTCTATTAGGGTGTCCATAAAGTTCGTTGGCCATTCGTTTTTTTTTCAGAGCTTGTAAAGATAACTCATCAAGTTGAACTTACTGGTCCATGATATAATCTCCATGAATCCCCACCACCCATCGCCAACGATCGGGTAGAGAGGCAACTCCATCCTCCCAAAAGCCGGCGGCCCAGTCCTCGATCACGTCCTCGGGGTCGCGCTCGTTCTTCAGCTGTTTTCCGTCCAACAAATTTTGCATGGACCTGAAGATGGGGTAATCGCATGGACTTATGTCCGGGCTATACGGTGGATGCGTGACCGTCTTGATGCCCAACCTGTCCAGGACGGCCTGAGTATCTCTCGCTTTGTGGGGGCGTGCGTTGCCCCAGAGCAACCACGGATTTGCAAATTTCTGGGACAACAGGGCAGCTTTTACCTTGACCTCCTGCAATTCTTTAGAAAGGGTCTCTGCCGTCACTGTGGCATTGTTGGGTAGGATGCTGTAATGGACGACGCCGTGGCGAGAGAACCAAAATGACGGAAGGCGCTAATTCCATGCATATTTCTCTTGGCACGGCTTGGCGGGGGCGCATCGAAATCCACCCCGAGTGTCTGTTGGCAGGATTAGAGTAGTAGTCCCACTCCTCATCTTGGCGAATGGGGGGTCCAGAATCTTCCTCAGGCCTCTAAGTCTGAGGTTGTCGGAGCACACCTCAACCCGCTTCCTTGCCTGTGCCGGCGTGAGGTCGTGAGGTACAACTCGACGCTTCTTCGACACTGTCAGATTCAATAAGGACTTTTTAGATGGTGGAGCGGGGTACCTGTAAGACCTTGCTTAAGTCGCGCATGGACGACGTCGGTTCATAGTCCAGGGCATCCAGAATGCCTTGTCGATTGACGGTGGCTGGGCGACCGGACCTCGGCATATCTTCGATGTCATAGTTTCCATTGGTGAAGCGAGTCCACCATTTTGACATGCAGCTCTTAGAGGGGTGTTATCACCAAGCTGCTGACGCATCCTGGTTGTGGCCTGACGTCTGGAGATGCCCGGGCTGTAGTAGTACAGCAAACATCGGCGGTGGTGGTGACTATCACTCATCTTCACTGCTTTATTTTGGGAAGAGAGGGAAAGGAAGCTGGCTAGCTCAGTAGATAGCCCATCGCGAGTACTTTCAGTATTGCGAAACTATAAGCAAAATCACAACGCGCTGCGTAACGCGACGCTGTTTACAAATGGCCAACGAACTTTATGGAGACCCTTATAGTTGCTCCAACCTCGCACGAGGTCAAGAACTCGGCTTATCGTAGCCAATAACAAAGGACCGTGATTTGAACGCCTAAGCCGGAAGGTTGCATCTTAGGGAAAGGATTCTAAGGTGCACAGACTTCTGAATTTCGTTTTTCGTTGCGGCATGTTAGACTAGAAATTTTGAAATGGCAGGAGGTTGACAAGGAATCACGTTTAACGAAATGAAGAACCAACAGCCCGTAGTGATTACGTGGAGACCTACGTGGAGCGATTTCTACACCTCCACTCAACGGAGAGACTCAGATGACGAGTACCTTGGTGATAGGGACTCGTCTATGACGGGTTAAGAATTCTCTGAACACCGAAATGTAACGCGTTATACAGTAGGACCGAGTCTAAGGAACATGCTATTCTCCCTTTGGCGTTATGTTTGCATCTCTAATTTCTCGCGAACGTAGTCAGGAGTATTTGCGTTGTTTCTGCTGAGTTGTTCACTCACTTAGCCGAATGAAATCTTCAACCAATTTTTTGCTTCGTCGTCAGTTGCTTGACACACAGTAATAGAAGAGGGTTATGTGGGACTTCCTGTGTGTTGAAAATCCATCCTTACAGTACTCTTCTGGTTCGTGCTGAGGACGTTCTGCATACGACCCAAAGGTCACTCAGAACATCACGAACTCGAGTCTTTTGTTTACCACTCTTTTTTTGCAGTGATGAAGATCGACTGTGTTCACCTGTATCACCTGTCGTCCCGTTAATAATTGATCTCCCCGAGCGGGCGCCGGTAATGTCTTCATTCGTTCCTCTCACGAGCCAGAGTGGTCCAGTGAAACATCATCGCCTCAGGGACACAAGGCCGAGCATTCCTTTCGTTCTATTTTCCTGGAGATCTGACTATCTCGTTGGTGGTCGTCCTGGTGTTCCCTTGCCGTTCGATGTTATAAGCACGATGTCGTCTCTAAAGCGGAGATGATGTAAGTAGCAGCCGTCGACCTTCACTCCCATGCCTTCCCATTCCAAATGACGCATGTTTTGGGAGCGGCGCTGGAAAGTTAGGCGGGATGGTATCGCCCTGTCAATCCCTGTCTTCACTTTAATGATGACTTCTTCATAGAACGGCGAGATCCTGGTTGTGAAGTGGTTCCTAAGCATTCTTATGTAATGAATAGGAACACCCTGGTTGCCCAGAGCTTCAATTACCGCCTATGTGCTGGCGGTATCGAGGGCTTTCTAATCCACGAACGCAAGACATAAGGACATTTTGTACTTCGCTAAATTGCAATGAGTCCTGAGAGTGTGGTTATGTCAACTGTACTGAACCCTCTCCGAGACCGTGTTTGCTCGAATGGCTGTCCTCCATCCAAGCTCGAATGGCTATCCTTCATCTAATGTTCTGCCGATCCCGTATAGGATGACGCATGTGAATAGTTCGTAGGTTTCAGACGGCAGGTAGATTGGGCGATAATTGCCAATATTGTCGGGATCTCCCTTCTTGGAGAGGGGGGGGGGGCGATTCACGCGTGACCCCATTAGTGGCGCACGGCAGGCAGGCATGTGAACGTATCATTTTGTTTTAGTTCCATTTTTAATATTCTCTGTTTTACCAGGGCTTAGAGTAATCTGTATTTGCATGCATACTAGGAATTAAGTATCGAAGTATTGCACAAAACTGGCGTCAACAGCAGTGAAATATTTATTATGAACGGTTATTAGCGCAGCATTTACACTATTATTTCTCAAACCTATGCAGTCTATGTCTTCAAGTTCGCTTTTGAAAAAGTTACACTTTTATGAAACTAATTGCGCTCACCGCCAAGAAACTCTCGCAATCCCAGCCCTGTTCTAACAGATTTCTGATAGTCGAAAATGTGCTTTGGGTTCTGAAAGGAAGAGTTCATAAAATGATTCAATTAAATTTACTGATCTTTGATTTAGATAAAGAAATAATACAATTCGTATCATGCCGAATTGGCGACCGCTCGAGAAATCCGTGATCAGCGGAACGATCGCTGTTCCTTGTTTGAGCAGTTCCACTAATCAATGAGAATCACTTTTCGTGAGTTAAAGGCACAGTTCACGATAATTTTGAGCTACCCATTTTAGTTGGAAAAAGGAAGTGTTGATGTAGAGTAATATATCAGTGGCGAAGAAATTGAGAGGATCGGCCTACTTCGCGAAAAATAAAGCTCAGCAAAAGTAGTGGAAATATAGGTTGTGCGAGATTACTGTGGCGGAAATGGCATGGAAGGGGTACTCGGACGAGATTTCAGTTGTTACAATTGCGCAAAGAGCTGATTACATCAAGTCCAAATAACCTTAATGCCTTCCACTGTCGCCATTTGTCATTACAAGTTGTTTGAACTTTCAACATGGGAATCATTCGCCTCTACAACACCGTTAAGACTCCGCTGTGGATGTGGCATTCACATGATACAACATCTGGCCTCTTATTGTTCCCTATTCGGTGCATTTCTCGACCTGACTTCGGCACATATGGTATCAGAAGAGGCCTCGCACCGTCCTATGTGGGCATTCCAGAAACAATTTTTTGTGAACTGTGCCTTTAATTCGTATAAAACACCATACATTCTTTCCTAATGAACTCGCATCCCTTGTTGAGGTCCTCTTTCATGGTTACTATGTGTCTTTTTCTATCAGATTCACAAAAAAGTTTACTGAGTTTGATGTTATATTTTATTAGAATTCGAATGTTGCCTAGCGCCCTTGACGCGGTCAACTCTCATCCAGTTGCATCTCAGACCAGCGGAGTTGAGGCAGAGATCGAATCTCACAATGGCCACTCACGTCGATTATGTCGTTACTCATAGTCAGAGTTTACACGGGGGGATGTAAGGTTAGAGGAGATTGGTTCGCGTTCTCAATACCACGGCCTTGGCAAACCCAGTGCAACTTCTGTTAATGGCTGCTACCTTCGCTACTTCGGACTGTTTTGAGTTTCTCTAGACATTTCTTTTGTAGGATAGCCTCCACTAGGTGGTTCCGAATTTGGTGAACCGATGATCACTGTTAATCTGAGAGATCAGATAAGCTATGTTAGAGGTCGTCTTTTTATGCCCGGTGCAGTTCCCACCACTGAATCCTCCCTCCCTTCTCATCCTTGCTTAAGGCTCGCTTACTTCACTTGCATTTGCGGATATGGAACCTTGCCCTGCATCAGTGGGCCTGGTGGTTATTCAAGTTATTCCACCTACCTGACCCTGCTAACTGGTTAGATTTAATAATAACGGCTTGGAAGTTTCACTTTAACTAAAATTCAACCACCTTTTCTTAAGTGGCTACATTTATGATCCTGGAATACTGATTCGACTTACTCTTTGGTGGACCCATGGTACTGCTCCTTTGACAAGCTCTACAGTAACATATAACCACATCTCCAGATCATCCATGCGGCTTAGTTCCCGATTCAGGTACGCGTTCCTTGGAGCATACCTCGAAAAAATTGAAGCTTAATATATTTTTTCTTTAAGAACTGTTGGAGCACATTCCGTTCATAAATCCTCTTTCGACTAATAAGAGAAGGCTGGAACAGTAAGTTGCAACGCAGCAATATAATGCACTTCCTACCTTGCTTTACCAATGTATTTCGACGGTTTCAGTCGCGGTGGTTTATGAGTACCGTCTGGGTCTCGATACTGATGAGCTAATCCGAAGTCAAGAATATACACCTGAAATTCTGTCAATTGTCGAGTGGTTGTAAGGGGTAATGATAATGAACTAAGGAAGTTCTGCTACTGACATTTCTTAGATCTTTGGGGTCACCGTTGATTACTCGTCCGATGGCGAATGTTGACGGATTTACCGAACGATGTACGAAACCCACCTCAACATACAGAAATTTATCTAGCTGGCTTCTGTTTGAAGTCTAAAGCATCAATTCCGAAACGAAACCGTTTTGGTCCGCTCTCAAAAAATTAGTGTAGTCAGATTTACTTTATGAAGTTCCTCCAGTGCTTTCAAACATTGCATGCCCGCACTCAATCCGCAAGCCAATGAAAGTTTTCCATCTTTGCAAGCTTTACGGATAAACTAAAATTGATGATCCGTTGCCGTACGAGAAACGCTGATGAGTTTCAAGCGAATGAGGAAACCGGCTGGTCCTGTGATTCTTTTAATATTTTATACATCGACCCAACAATCCTTATATCGATAAGGACCAAAACTCATTCCCATGCTTTCACATTTGGAAGGCTCGAGATCTCAGACCAGACTTCGACGTGGTTTTGAGGATAAAAACTAACTTTGAAGTTCCTTCCTGCCAATGTTATTGCGATATAGTTGAAGTCAGGAGCGACACCACGATCGAATACCCTAGGCCACACAATGGTTAACGCTCAGGAGTTTAGTTATTCCAAAATGTCCCAGAACTTCTTGCCAATGTCCCTATTTCCAGTTGATTTTGAGTGCAAGCTATTTAGTATTAGGTTGATGCATAATTATTGCGGATTTTTTCGCGGCTTTTTTTCTCTCGATAGAATTTGAATATTGAGTTCGGGTTTTTCCTAGGAATGATCTACTTGATTTCCTCTACAAGAATATACTCAAAAAATCATCCGTATTCGCAAAATTAGGCTTAACTACTTCGAGGAGATTGGAAGGTGGCACAGTCATTCCTCAGTAACTTTTCAGCGATCGTTCATTAGGTGATCTAGTGAAAGTACACATGATTTTCTGGCGGCCAAACACGATTATTTTGATATTTTCTATTTCCCCTGCATTTT